ATAATAGCCAAACCTTTTCGAAAACAATCTAATATCCAAATCATCAACTTTCCGTTCATTTGACCATTAGTTAACACTACAAAAAAGCTTTGTTTAGGGAAAATTGTCACAATATAACTTTGTTTCTTGTTTTGGCATTGCAGATGACTGAATATTTAGATATTCTATATCATCATGGTGGAGTCATGGACTTCTCGTGTTTTGAACTACGATATGTTGGTGGTTTTTCAGAGAAGATATCAATGGATATTGATGAAGTATCGTACTTCGAACTTTTTTGAAGTGTCAATTAACGGTCAAACAGACAAAAAGTTGACGATTTGAATATTAGATTGTTTTCGAAAAAGTTTGGCTATTATATTGTTTAAAATAAAAGATTTGAATAATAAATTGTATTTAACCAAAAAACTATGGCCAAAAAACTATGGCTTGATGGTTACAACTCAAGTCATAACAACATATACTAACTTAGTTATGACGTGAGGGTTTAGTATAAATGGTTTAGGCTATATGGTTATGCTTCATGTTTAGGAGTTCGGACTTTAGGGTATAGGCTATAGGATTAGGGATGGCAACAAAACCCAAACCCACGGGTGCTCACCCGACCCAACCCGGTCAACGCGGGTAAAATCCGTGTTGACGGGTTTTGGGCCGGGTTTGGGTTTAAACCCGTTCACTATTCATCGGGTTGGGTTGGGTTTGGGTTTAGGTAAACCCGGCCCGTGGGTACCCGCCCACTCATATAATTAATTTTTTCGGTATATTTAATATTCTAAACAACTATTCTTATTTATTTTTGTGGAGACATGTCTAATTTTTTCTTTTTAATTGTGTACAATGAAGTTGATGTTATGGAGTGGAGACTAAAGAAACTTAATTGAAAGAAAGAAGCTTTCAATTAAACATGTTATTTATGGATAATTTGTGATTTGCTTCAATTTTCTTGAGTTTTCTAGATTGGTGTTGAACAATTTGTATAGTTAATTTGTGATTTGCTTGAATTTTCTAGAATGGTGTTTTATATATGGATAATTTGTATTGAGAGATTGATATTTGACTTTAATTTTTATAAGAACTTGTAATTGTAAATTTTTTACGGCAAAACCCGTGGGTACCCATGAACCCGCGGATACCCAATGGGTTGGGTTGGATTTGAGTTTTTCAAACCCCGTGGGTTTTACCCCGGGTTTTTTTCAAAGATAAACCCATGGATTTGGGTTTGGCAAAACCCGACCCAACCCGACCCATTGCCATCCCTATATAGGATATTCATCATGGTGATGATTCAAGGCAAAACACATATACGGACATACTAACATAACTATGGCTTGATGGTTATGATATGTGTTGATGTTGTATCTGACACCACTTCGTTTCATCATTGAATGTTCTTGGAGTTAGTTATTTTAAGTTTTGTTTCGAACTGAATTTGAGTTTTGAGTTACTTGTGCATGTCATATGTACATTTTTTAATTTGTGGTTGTAATAGTACCTATTGGATGAAAATGTTGATCTCACGATAACTATCAACTTTTGTACTTTACCAATTATAATTAATTATATGGCAAGTTTGCAAGTCATACGATTTTCATAACTCAGTCATCTAAAGGAATACAAAATTAATTCAACATTTTGACAAGTTTCTGTAAATTTTATAAGTACATATACATATACAAGGCCGAAATAAATTATATAGAAAATACAAAATAATTATATGAAATTAGTGCAATAAATAGCATGTAAGTTGTAACGAGTATAGAGTAATTAACACAATGCTCTAACTCGAACAACCTGCAAACCGACGGACACTCAACCATATGAACCTGCAACTCGATTAGCCTGCAACCCGACTGACCCGTAACCCAATAAACATGTTACACGATTAACCCATAACCTGACTTAACCCAACCCGAACCCGCCAAATTGACAGCTCTACGTACATATGCATATGCATGCATGTGTGTGGCACATTGAAAATAAGCCAACCTGGAAGCCACACTAAATTTATTTTTGGATTATTGCTCACCAATATTTGTGTTTAAGATATCAAAATTGAAGATTGAGGTGAATCAAATAAAATTCATTAAAATGAATGGTAAAAGAAAAAGAAAACTCTTATACTCGATCAGACCACAATAAATATTTATTTTTGTTTTGACCAGTAAGACCACAATAAGTAGTCAGTTATATATATGTAAGTGTGATTTTCTTATTCATGGCCAATATTCCCATCGCAGCAGGTTTAGCACATGCTAGGTAGATTATGTGCCACGCTTTGTTGTTGCTTCTCATAGGATTACTAGCACCGGGCCCTGCCCTTGGCCGGGAATGTTTAGAAAAAATTTATGTACGTATAACATGTTTACAATATAATAAGAAGATCAGACATAGGATTGGAGAAAGAAATATAATTGTTCAAAGAAGAAAATACCTTATTTTGGTCTTGAAGTTTGACATAAAAGGTAAATTTGACATGAACTTGCAAAAAAGACAATTTTTAGAATTTTGAAAGAAATTGACAAATTTGGACTAAAATTTTGGTTGACCGTTAATACTAATAGTCAAACATATCTTCACACATGATTCAAAAAACAATGCTGAGGTGGCTGCAAATGCGACGTGGCTTCCACTTCATAGGGATACTACCATATTTTGCAATGAAGTTGACGTAAAATACAATATTGGCCCGAATTTTCAAATAAGACAAGTTTGCTCTGACTTTGAAAGAAGTGGACAAATTTCGTCCAAAACTTGGATTGACCTTTAATATTGATAGTATGGATAGAGAGGTTTAGGTTCCGATGTGGCTACCACATTATTTATTTATAACAACTAAAAAAAATATTAAAAATGTGAAAAAATTTCAGAAGAAAAAAATAGACCACAAAATAGGACCCTTGACTTATCCTAATATTTTCATTTTTACTTGCATTAATCAAATTAAAAAATAAATTGATTAAGGCCCCCAAAAATCCCTATGCACAGAACTGAAACTCTCTTTGTACACATCCACATCAATATTAACGACAACCAAAATTTTGTGCCAAATTTATATATTTCTTTGAAAATTTGGACAAAATTGTCTTATTTGAAAGTTTAGGTCAAAATTATTTTTGACGTTAATGTTCAGCCAAAATAGCGTATTATCCCTATGACATGGAAGCTACGTCGCATCCACTTTAGCATTGTATGTTAAGTCATATACAAAAGAAATGTTTGACCGTCAATATTAACGGTCAACCCAAATTTGTTCATTTCTTTCAAAACTCGGACAAAACTATCTTATTTGCATGTTCATGGCAAAGTTGTTATTTTCGTAAAAGCTCAGTCCAAAATAAGATATAATACCTAAATAATATAGGAGTACTCAAAATATTTGACTAATGAAGTTCAAAATGTTTCAAACAACATTCAACCCTGATAAAATTGCAGTCCAACGAACTAACATTTAGAACAAATGATTTTCCGACAGGATAAATGCAACTATAAACATGGGTGGTTCTATCATACTTTGAGTAAGAAAATGATATATATACCTTGAATGATATACTCTGAGTAAGAAAATGATATCTAAAATTTGAATTGTCTGGAGATTGGGATGTGGTACTATACCCTAAACCCTTAATATTAAAATCTAGGTCTTAATTCTATGAATCTCATATACTAAGATCAGTTTAATTAGAAACAATAATCGAAAGTCAAGTTTCATCGAAATACATCCAACAAATTATGTGCATCATCTTGATGTTTAGGGCAAGGATTGAAAACCCTCACTCCTCAAGGGTTAGGTATAGTATCATGACCCGAAATCCGGTTAATTCAAAGTATAGATTGCCTTTTCTTACCAATGTACGCGTTACCTTTTGTTTTTACTCAAACTACGATACAAAACACCATATATACTCACATATGTGTGTGGTTGTGTGTGCAAAATATAATGGGGTTTCCATATATTCAAGCTAAACCGATTTTCGACCATTAAATCTTAGCGCATTTTCTCGACCGTGGCAATGATTGAAACCGAGTTGACAACCTTGAAAAGTATTCAAATTAATATCTACACCAATGGTTAATGGTAATATAGTTAAACCGGTTTCCGACCAATAACTCTTAACTCATTTTCTTGATCGGGCTAATAACTGAAATCGATTTGGCCACCAATGAGCAAAACTAATATCTTACACCAATGTTTAATAGTAGTATATCGAACCCACGCTGCCTAGTACTTTCTTTAAAAAAATCAAGTTAACAGGCTGGTTTTGGTTTAGATCCCTTAAGATCATAAAGGGATATAACAAATGAAATAAGTAAATTTGGGTTTTATGTAAAAAATATCACCGGTAGATTATAGAATGGATGATGTCAGAAGGAGATGGGTTAGTTTGCTTCACGATTGAGGAGACACTACAACAAATTTGACCTGTTATGACAAAACTTTTTTTTTTGTCATTTCCAGGTTGTCACAACGGGTATGTAATATGACAAAACTCAATGTTGTCCTATTTGATATGCCTAATGTGACAACGTTAGGTGTTGTCATTACAGTTGGTCATAATAGGTTGGTACTGTGATAAATTTTTTGTGTCACAAATAATGTTGTCAAAATAGGCGTCCCATAATGGGATGTAAGAGACTTAAAAGTGACAAAGTTAATCTTCAAAGTAGCATTCATCATATTATGCTCTCATAAAATATTTAAACGACAAAGCATTTTGTCATAATAGAGATTATTATTCCCACGGCGAGCTGACAAAATATAGGTTCGTCATAATATATTGGTTATTTTTTATTATGTCAAATTAAGTTGTCATACACTCATACGCGCAATTAACATATACTTTTTCATTTTAGTGGGTGAAAATTAAAATTTGGCCGACGGCTTTTCAGTGTTGGGAAAATTACCCTCTCCTTCCCTTTGTTAGACAAAAATTACAATTTGGAGGGAAAATGGAAAAAGCAGCGGGCATAAGTTCAAAACCAAAATTGAACTTTTTTTTGCCTTCTTCTCCTCTCTCGGGGAATACGAAAAAGGTCGAGAGCTAAAAAGTTGGGGAAAAAGTAGTTTCCAGAAGGAACACTAGTTCTCAATCCGGAGAACAAGAAAGAAAATCTTCCTATGCCGCTCTCTCTCAAATAAATCATCTCGATACAGAGGCGATGAATGTATGCAATGTAACCCTGTGCCATCGGGGCACTTGTGGGTGGCGAATGTATTTCTCAACATAGATCTTCAGGGAGATGGAGCTGATGGAAAATGGAGTGCAGCGGCCTGGCTCCGGTCGTGACGAGAACTAGAGCGAGAAGAATCATCGGCGGTGGTGAAGTTGGCACGATATCAAAAACCAGATCTGAGTTAGTTGCACTCAGAGAAGGCTGACCACATGCGAACCCTAAACAACAGAATAAATCTCATGCTAGAGCTCAATTTCAGGTATGTGATTCGGAGCCCCTATTTAACTTGAACTATTCAAGCATCCATATAGATCTTCGTATGGAATTTCAGTGGTTTCTTTCTATTCATCCTTTAGATCTAGAATATGATTCCTCTAATTCCTGGCACTTGCCTGGTCGATTTATCTCTAATGTCCAAAATATTCATAGGGGTTTCATTCTCATCACCACTATGGACAAAAAGGCGTCATGAGAGCCAATAACCAAGCTCTAATTCGGCTCCATCGCCAACAATGTAAACCCTAGATTTGCTGCCGCTAACAGCTGTAATGGTTGTGGAATTGTGAGATTTTTGTATTTTTTTAATGGCTATGTTCAAAGTTTGATTCTTTTTGGAATTGGTTTCCTTAGGATTGATAAAGATGCTTGATTTAGAATGTGGGTGGTCTGTACTTCACGTAGATTATAAGGAGATGGGTTTCATGGTTTAGTTTAGTGCTTGAAGTTGTTTGGCTATTGTAATCTGTATCCATGGTGGTATGCTTGAAGATGTTTGGCTAAAGTTAATTTTGTGTTGGAAAATTTTCACCAGGTATGCAGCTAACTGGTGAGTTCTTAGCACTCTCTTTTGCCATTTTATCAAAGGAATTAACCGAACCACCAATGGAATTGGCGTTGAAATTCAAGCCCTCATACGCTCTCTGTTTAGAATCTTGAACCGATTTCCTCTTATTCAATGATTTGTTTACTCATGATTGTTTGGTTGTTGGGATTTCATATAGTGTGTTGGATCACACTAGCAATCCATCGATTTCAATAGATTCTTTCATTATATTAAAATGATGTTGGTTATTTGAGGTATATCAATTTCATCGTAGTTGATTAATTTGGGTTTGTTTGTGCCACCAGTGTTTGCATATATATGTCATAAAATTGATTACTATATATGTTTGTTTGATTTTTTTTTTGTTTTAATCGATTGTGTTTATAATGTTTAATTCATTTTTGTGCTCTTATCATAAGATAATGATTCTAATTCTTGCTACCTAGAAATAACCATTCTATATTGATTAAATTGTGAAGTCAAGTTTGGATCCCAACACAGGATAGATGATGTCAGGTGGCGAATTATGGTTTTTGTTTACACACCATGGGTTTCTAGTGGACTAAAAGTTGTCCCTTTTCTGGGTTCTACATTGATTCAATTATGTTCAGGAGGATTGATGTGAATGTTAGGCTAGCAAACTCTGTTCGAGTTCCTCAATGGGATTTCTGGATTCTACATTGTGGATTGATAGTGCCGAGAGGTACGTTGGAGGTTGAGTGACTGACTCATTTCCAGCTACAGGTGTGTTTCCAAAAGCAAGTTGTGGATTTTCCTCCACCCCGAACCTTTCTAAATATTCTTTGGTTTTTTGCGTTCTAAGTTTGTTTTTCCTCTTTTTGCTATTATCAGACCCTAATTTGTTCCCTTGTTTATTTTTTTATATTTGGATTTTGGCAGCCAAGTAACAATTTGGTCTGGCTTTTATGAACCACAAGAAGAGTTGGGGGCAATCAAGAATATATGTGTTAAACATGGACTCCTTATAATTATAGATTAGGGCTTTCCTCAGCTTCTAAAATTGGAGGCAGCAAGAGCTGAAATAGAAAAAAAAAGCAAGGAGTATGAGGTGAGGATACAAAGGCGGGAGCAACAGCTAAAAGGCCAGGATGAAAAGGTACTGCTTCATGAAGAAAAGATATAGAGCCAGGAGGACAAGTTTGAGACCCAAATAGAGGAGATGCAGCAGTTGAAATCCTCCCAGGAAAAGCTACTGCGTCAGCTACTGATGATTGCTTCCCAATATAACTTGCAAATGATCTGCCAAGTCCAAGGTAACTACCCTGCCTAAGTTTCAAGAGCAAGATGAAAATGGAGGTTGTTGGTGTACTCGTACGTTATTTAGTGTTCTAGTGAACAAAGAATAATGTTGGAAACCATTTGATATTTTTTGTGATGGTGAACAAGTTAGAATGTTGGGGATGATTATACTGGTCTTTTGTGTTATGGTGAACAAGGAGTTGCGATGCTTGGAATGGTTATAATGTTTTGGAGAATTGGTTAGTACTCAGTTGGGATGCTTATCTATTTATGCAATGTAGGAATTTTTTTTTGAATTATGTCATTCTTGTAACAGGTCAATGTAATGTCATCAGTACAGCACTTTCCACGACAACCTAAACTCGTCATAATATGCAGTTATGATAAAATATATTCGCAGTATAATCGTGTAATATGAATAACAATTCTGACAAAATCAACAAATTATGACAAAACTAATGACAAAATATTTTGTCATAAAAGCTTTATTTGTCACAATAGACTACTCAAAACATGAGCTATACTGACAAACCAAAGTCCAATTGTGACGAATCTCATCCTTATTGTGACAAAACCATTCGTCACTTTTTTACCTATCATATGACACATGAATATGTCACAATATCTTACAGCAAATGTGACAACGATATTTTAAAATTTTGTCACATTTGACCTATCTTGACGGCGATTAAATGACAACACGTTGTGACAACACCCTTTGTCATAATATATCTAATCTGACAAAACATGGTTCTAATATGACAAAAACCGTTCGTCACAATAGGCCTAATTTGTTGTAGTGAGAGGAGGCGGCCCTAACCTCAGGGTAGGCTTTCGATAAGTGGAAGACCGGAAAATTGGAGACATTTGGTGAATAGCTATCGCCGGAGAGGAGATGTGACTGCAATATCTTCGCTTTTCCAGAATTTTGCTGCCTCTTCATGTCAATGAGTAGGCCGAATCGCCGGAGGTGAGGCTTCACGGAAGACTTTGTGAAGCTAGAAGATCCAACGATAGGCCCAAGTGTCGTGAGAATTAATTCCATATGGCCCATGTGTGCCGAAGTGGATTGGGTTGGGTAAAATTGAAACGCACAGCAGCACTTAGTTAGAGTTGGGAAATGACTGAAAGGCCCATCCGTAAATCACTCTAGAGCCACCATTTTCAAATCCCTGCAAATCCAACCTATGTTTTGGCTTTATATATTGTATAGATATGTATTATTTGTTAATCCGTATTTGATTTGTAATCGCACTTAGCAACGATCCAATAGAGGAACTCCTAAAAGATCTTAATTGGTAGGTGATTTTAGCGGTATGAAATAATTTAACCACGGTTGAACTTTCATTTTAGCATAAAATGCCCTAATGCTAATTTCTTCGGTACGATTTTCGGTATAGTTTTACAATTGTTTATTTTTCTGCACATACATCGAGGTTTGGATTGGAGCAACATGTCAAGGCTGATTTAACTACGATTTTAGCACAAAATACCATAATGCTAACTTTTTCGGTACGACCTTCGCTATGGTTTTACAATTTTTGGTTTCGTTTCAGAACATAAATCGAGACTCTGGTTGGAGCAACGTGTCAAGCCTGATTTTAACCACAATTGAGCTACGATTTTAACAAAAAATACTCTAATGCCAACTCTTCCGGTACGAACTTAGGTAGGGATAACAATGGGTCGAGTTGGGTCGGTTTCTGTCAAATCCAAACACAACTTATTGGATATATCCTAAAAAACCCTGGGGGGAAATCCAATAGGTTCGGAAACCTCCTACCCAACCCACTGAATATCCGCGTATTCATGGATACTCATGGATTCTGATGAACAAAAATACATAACACCAATCTCCTATTAAAATAAAAGTCTAGTGCTAAACAGGAACATAAAAGTATATGTATTCGTACATATTTTATCCGTTTAAAATTTTCGTATTCGTATTATTGTCAAACTGTTTATTTTTTCTCTGTTCATTTGATGTCTCTCGTACTAAACACGTATAACACATTTAATATCCGTATGTATTTTATACATAACTTACTCGTACCATATTTTACTAACTATGGTATTATAATTAGGGATAATTGAAAGTAGGGGTGGGCAATGACACGATTCACACCATACCAAATTGTACTGAATCGATATTTGGATCGAATCATATCGGATCGAATATATTTCGTTTCGATTTCTGTCTAATAAATTATTTTATGTAAGAAGAAGAAATGGATCAAAATTGAATTGGTATCGGATCGAATCAAACCAAATGAACCGAACATGCTTTTGGTACGGTTTTGATCCTTTGTTTTTTGTCTGATCCAAAGTAAATTCAATTAAGTTCTGGAACGAATCGAATGATGCCCACCCCTAATTGAAAGGGACGCCGAGTGGAAGGAAGGGAATAACTATTATTAGGTGGCCAAATAAGGGCCGAGTAGTATTAGGATTCCTCGGTGTGCTTCCTATACATATGTGATTTGGTCTTTGAAAAAAAGTATAATAACAATTTAGTTTACCAAATTCTTATACGAGTTTTTAGGAGTAGAAGTAACACAAAAATAATAATGCAACCAAACTTATCAAATCGATTTATACCGTCCAGTTTAGCAATAAAACCAAGATTTCCAAACCATGATAGCCAATGCTCATGAAATGGTTGCATGTTACAATAGCCGATTTCATGGCATCAAATATAGAGTTTAAGAGAGATTGATCCCCGGAACTTTGGATGAAGGATAACTTTGAGTATCAATGGAAGGATTGAGTTCAAATGACTGATGGGGTTGTTTAATTAGGTGTTGTTTTCATTTGATGAATTTTGGCGTATTCTACCTTGATGAAAGTTTACACTTACTTAAGTGTGGCGGTATTAGATTGAAATTGCAGGTAGTATATATGCTGAAGATGATGTTCCAATTGAAATACCAGGAGATGAACTGGTGCAGAAGAGAGGTAAATGTTACGCTAGATCATTCTAATTATCTCATTAGATTTAAAGGTAATCATGTAAGCTTTATAGTGAAAGGAAAGTGTATAACACATGGATTACAAGATGAACTGGTGATTTTGTCATCTGTGGTTTAGTGTGCTACTTAGATTTACAGATACAATCGAGGGGTAATATGGCATTAGGATTGAGTGTGAATGGTATGACCATGCATGAAGACTTATCTCCCCGACCTTTTCATATTTGGCTTTGATATAAATCCAAGAGCTAAATAATTTGATTTTTTTAGTTGGTAAAAGGATTCAGGTTATGTATAACACTTCTGGTTGTATCATGTCTTTGTACTCATTATGTCTTATTGTAAGTTGTATCAAGGTTTTTGAACCTTGTGTTCTTAATTTGATTATGATATATCAATGTCAAGAACCAGTTGATCTCAATAATTTGACTTATTGAAAGAGATTCAATTATAAATCATATACCATTTACTAACACTATTTTTTTATTGGTTACCTCAAATTATATTAAGGTAAACGTTAGAGGTTGAGGTTCCACTTGAGCTTGAGCTTCAGGTACCGTTTGAGCTTGACCTATTTGGTTGTTTCTTTCACGGAGGAGGGCTTGCAAAGAACAACTCAGAAACCAACTGTGGAATTATATTAAGCGGCTAACCATGAGCAGATGATCATCAGTACTAGCTGGAACTCTCTGCTTTATACATATTTGTACATAGATAGGTAGGGTTACTTGTGATCATTACTATAAATATCCAACGTGCGTACATACATGTCTATTTGGTCTTCTCCTTTTCCTCTTCCTCTCTATCTACCAATCTATACATAGATATAGACTTAGGGATGCAAATGAGCCGAACCGAGTCGAGTTTTTGATTAGGTTGAACTTGACTCGTTTATAAAATTTTCACCTCCAGCTAGGCTCGAACTCGAATTTTGATAATCCAGCTCGAGCTCGGCACGATTAAAAATAATCTAGCTCGAGCTCGACTCGATAAATGCTCATTAACACAGCTTGTCAAGCTGAGTACTAACTCGACTCAAGATGAGCTCGATTTGAAATCATTCTTGATGAAAAATGTGTACACATAAGAATTTAAATGATAAAAAGAACACTAGAAATTAAAAATAACAGTTAACTTTCATACACATCTGTATTAACAAGGTAATGTTCTTGTTTAGAAGAGTAATTAATCATTCCACAAGCTCTAAACAAGCCAGCTCGCGAGCTTAGCTCAACAAGCCACCGAGGCAAGCTAGCTCACTAGCTAATTATCAAGCTGGGCATGGTCTAGCTCAAACTTGGCTCGTTTACTAACGAGTTGGCTCGCGAGGCGGTTTGTTAAATAACGAGTCGAGTGTTGAACCAGTTTTTTCCCGATCCGATGGCCAAGTTGCTCGCGAGCAGCTTGGCTTATTTGCAACCCTAGATATAACTAGAACGAGACGATGATGGAATGGACTAGTATTTTGTTAGAGTTAGTCAATATAGTTGTAATACCACATTGATGGGAGAAGGGAAGTATAAGAATTGAGTATTTTGGGAGTTTGATTAATTAATCAAATATTATATTAATTAATCAACGTTTGACTATTTTGAAAATAAGTGTCATTCCAAAAAGCTAACTTCTCTCTTTCTGTGAAAGGATGTGTCCTTTTGGAAAGTATAAATGACTGCCATAACTATTTTTAATACAAGAGAATTCTTCTTCTTTCCATTTTCCACAAGTTTGTACGATTGCTGCTTCTAGACTTAGAATTGAAAGGACTCCTGTGGATGGTTTGCTCGAGCCTACCAGTAATTTGTAGTGGGGGCAAATAACACTCTAAGGAGAGTGAATCATCCACCCTTCAGTCCGATTCTTTCCTAGCTAGACATTGGATTTGGATTTGGATTTGGATGGGATGAGTTAGGTAGCTAGCTAGGTATAGTTTAGTTGTGAGAGGGAGGATGAGTCTTGGGAGGAGAGTAGTCCAAGTTAAAACCCTCGCTGCTGCGTCTGCTCTTAGGGACACGCCACGTTGTTGAAGACGAGGACGAGGACGAGGACGACTCTTTCACCAGCTCCTTCCCTTGATCATCTAATTTCTGC